AACACCCTTGTTAACAGAGGTCTCCGAAATAAGGGTTGAGCTTATCCCATTCTCCCTCACTCAGCCAACCCCAGGTAAATCACAAGACAAGCTTTAGAGCATGGCAGGATGAGAGTGGCTTCAAAAAAGTAAATTTGTCAGTAGTTTAAAGTTTTGCCAGGCACAATGGCACACACTCAGCGCTTATGAGGGCGAGGCAGGGAGATCGTAAACTGGAGAGCAGCATGGGTTCCACAACAGGAAAGGAGTATCAAAAAGGAGAGAAAAAAAGTTCCATCAAGTTGGTAAAACCAATAAACTACCAAACCCAGGTTAGTACCATTGATTATCAACTGTCACCTCTTCAGAGTCACATGCATGCTAAAAGCACCCAGTTAGTGCCTATTATTTATTTCCAGCACTTTAAAATCTCAACAGTACTATCTGTTGCTTTACTAGCCTCCCTTTCTTATACTTACAAACACCATGAAAGCAAGAACCACAGCTTGGTTATAGTTGTACCCTCAACACTTAACACAGAGGCTGGTGTGAATCAGATGCTCAAAATATTTAAAGGTTTCTATACACGTATGTAGCAGGGTCCAATGCAAGCCTACAGAAAGCATTTGCCCATTGAGTCAGGTCTAGGGTCTGAGAGTGAAGATTCACTTTAGCATGTAAATAAAGGTGTTTTATTATGGAGAACACAAGGGGGTTTTAGCTAAATTTAAATTATTTAGCGCTTGTGTGCAAATGCAAAAGTATGCACAATGAGGTGAAGGTTGAGGGTGCATGTGCCAGGGTATGTCTGGAGGTCAGAGGACAGCTCAGTGGCATTAGTGATTTCCTTCTATCTTTGCATAGGAACTGATGATGAATTCAGGTCAGACTTCTATGGCCTGACCCCAGTCATATTTTTGATAGAATCTAACAACTGTCCAATCATCTAGTCATTTCAATTCACATTTATGTAAAAACACATCTCAGAAGAACACACAAATATGGATCTAAGAAAAAGGAAACTTTAAAGAACTAAAAGAGGCACCAGAGAGATGACTGAGAAATTAAGAAAGAGCCAGTATGGCTCTTAGAGATGATCTGAGTTCACTTTTCAGCATCCACACCCACACTGGGCAGCTCATAACCACCTGTAACTCCAGCTCCTCCAGGGAAATGCAATGCCTCTGGCCTCCAATGACACCTACACACTCATGTACACACTACCCCCATTAAAAAATAATAATAAATATTAGGAAAGAATTAAAAGTTATCTCAGAAGGAGACTACTTTAAATATAAAAGCAAAGTCAAGTCATAAAAATTTAACTGTTGTGCTGGCAAGATGGCTCAGTGGGAAAAGTTGTTTGCTATATAAGCCTGATAGCTTGAGTTTAATCCTGCAAATCCAAAGTCATATTCTGACTTCCATACATGTTTTGTTCCATGTATGCATGTATGCACTTGCCACCTACATCATACACACAATAGTAGTTTGTTTGTTTGTTTGTTTTAATGTTAAGTGTTGGTCTAGAGAGATGGATCAGTGACTAAGACTGACTACTGCTCTTATCTTTAAACGGTAAGCATTAACCAAGATATTTTAAAAATTCAAGGATGGAAACATGGGTTAGGGAGGAAGAAAAATGAGGAAGGCCTGTAAGCAAATACAAGGCAAATGAAGAGCCAGGAAAAATATTTGCAATACAGAGCAAAAGGCTGCTATCCTAGATAGATAAAAGGCCCAATAATAAAGATCTTACAAGTATAAACACCGAATCATGGACAACCTGAATTAGGACACAGTACAAGTGGATAGTGTACATCATCTCCAAAAGCACAAAATACCCTACATATAATCTTTCACATTCACAGTCATCTCATATTGAAAGCATCGGTTTTTGTTTGTTTTCTTTTCTAGACAGGATTTCTCTGTAGCCCTGGCACTCCCTTTGTAGAACAGACTGGCCTTGAATTCAGAGATCTGCCTGCCTCTGCCTCCCGAGTTCTGGGATTAAAGGCGTGGGCCAACTGCCCAGTTTGTGAAATATATTTTTATTTGATCTAATACATACATATATATCATATATATATATATATATATGATATATATACACACACATATATAAAAGTCTTTCTCTTGTTATATGGCTATAAGAAAATTTTAAATTACTTAACATGGTTCTGATTTGCAATTTGCATTGTATTTCTATTGAGATAGCCAGTGTGGGTTATATAAACCACAGTAAAACTGTGTCTGAATTTTATCTCATGGATTGAAAAGTCACTGAAGGACTTTGAGCCTGGGAGTACCATAATCTATAAACACATTCAGGGCTGGCAAGATGGCTCAAGTGGGTAAAAGTTCTTGCTATGCAAACCTGATGACCTGAGTTTGATCTCAAGAACCCATGTAAACATGAAAGGGGAGAACTGACTCTATGAATCCACCCTCTGACCTCCACACTCACATGCTCCCACTCATACCCATCTCACACACTCCTACACACAAAGGTTTTTTTTTTTTTTTTTCTTAAATACAATACAGTCATATTACTCACACACACAATCTGAGAAATTCAGGAAATACTGCTCCTTAATTTATTTGGAGTACACCCTGGACCTTTTTGTTTGTTTGTTTGTTTGTTTGTTTGAGACAGGGTTTCTCTGTATTGTTTTGGAGCCTGTCCAGGAACTCCCTTGGTAGTCCAGTCTGGACTCGAACTCAAGGAGATCCGCCTGTCTCTGCCTCAGAGTGCTAGGATTAAAGATGTGAGCCACCATCGCCCAGCACCCTGGACCATTCTTAACCCTAAAAAATACTTCAGTGTGTGGCTGACAAGTCTTAAAATACCTACTGCAACAAGTACATATCCTTCTCAAAATTTGTGGAGTGACTCGGGGGTCCTATGTTTCCCTTACAGGCTTTGTCCTCTGGCAGATACTCCCCTCCACCAAAGCTTGTGCCAACTAGGTAGAGAAAGCTTAGTACAAGTTTCTTTTGCAAGAGTGTTTTAAGGCAACAAAGATTCCTCAATAATCTGCCAAAGGCTGCAAGGAGGGGAGGAGTGGTGAAGAACAGAAAGGGTGTATTTACAAAACAAGTGTTTTCTCCAACTTGCTAGTTTTGCACTGAAAGGGTACCAAACTGTTCCAGATTTCCCACAATCTGTTTGAAGGGATTCAGTGTAAAGAGATTAACAGGAATCTTAGTTCCTCATGCAAATATAACAACTAGGATCTGACCTCCAGGACAATGAGTCTTCCTGACTAAGGAAGCAGAATCTTGGCGTTTTCACTCACTTATTTCTTTCTGTTTTAATCCTGCCTGATTGCCTAAAACTTTCTCCTAGGATCTACAGTATTTACTTTAGACAGACAACTTGTGCAACTACAGCTGCAAGAAAAGTTCGCAGGGTACATTTGTTAGAAGCAAAACAAGAAACACTATCGCCAACACTGGGGTTAAGATGAACACATCATTAAAAAGCAATGAAATGTATGAACCACAACCATATACTGTCAAAAGTTCAAGGACCCTTGAACATGCATGACAAGGTTTGAAGAGATGAGTATGTGATAAAACTATTTTTAAAAAGGCCAGAGAATCATAAACAAAACCCACAAGTCTAGAATGTTTACCTCAGTCAGAAACAGTAAGCTGGAGAAGGTCAGATAAGAAACTCATGCATACATACAAGTTTGGATAATGTTCTAGTTCTTGCTTTGGGGTGAGGAGTCTGGAATTTTCATTGTTTTCCCTTTTTATAGTACATCATGTTTTGTACTCCCTTGGCCATTAACCATTACTTTTAAGACTTTGCGATATAACTCACATATCATAAACTACAGATTTAAAATCTAGAGTTTTGACTTAACACAGGAAAGTATGGCTGCAGTCAAAATAATGCACCTAACCTGAACTTCTCATATCGGTGCGTCTTACCCCTCTTTACATCTTTTTAGAAGAAAACTAAGACAACCTGCTTTGTACAACTAAATATTCATGGCTTACCAGAAAATTGCCCCAGTAGGCCTGGGGACAATACATAAAACAGCAATTGCCATAAAATACTACATAAATAATCTCAAAAGCCTGCGTGGCATTTCATATTAGGAAAAAAGATAAATTTCGAATCTAGTTTCCAAGTGGCGTTTCATTTTGTTTTTTTTTTTTTCGGAGCCACCAGGTGCTGACGACTGAGCATGCACGGCTTGGAGGTGACCCCAAGGCCCCAACTCCCTCACACGGGTGACAAACTGGATGATGACGACAAATCCCAGAGCTTTGATAGAGTTAAAATGACTTCAGACGCCACACACCGCGGACCTTGTTTACGCATCAAACAGTGAGAAACTTGAAAATGCTCACCGAGGAGCAGAGAGATTGGAATCAAGGAG